CCTGAATTTTTAGACAATTTTATACTCAGAATTTTGAGATGATTTCTTCTACAAAGTTGTTTATAATGATGTCTAGTTTGTCCAGAAATTTTTGGAAATAATTTTTGAGCTTTCTACGAATTTATACAAATTTTTAACTAAATCTGAAACTGTGTGACAGATTTTACCTTGTATTTGAAAATTTATTTAAAATTCTATACTAAGCCAAATCTGGTAATTTCTAACTAAAAGATGAAATTTGAGAAGTCTAGTTTCATGATAAATTTTTAGATTATGGGTTTGATCTATAAATTTAAGCATGGAATTAATATAAGGAAATGTGACAAATCTGTGTCTTAAACACCCTTGGAATTTTTAAGAATTATTTATAATTTATTTTTGGTAAATGCTTTCTGAAAAATGACCATAACATGTTTATGGATTATTCTGTAGATTGATATGAATTTTAGGGTTGTATAAGTAATGTCTTTAAAATTTTACTTGCAAGATATATATTCTAAAAATTTTTCAGAGCAGGATAAAATCACCACTTTCAGATTATACTAGTCTAATTTAGTAAATCAAAAATTTGTGCAGGTGTGCATTTATGGTTTATTTCTTGTATTTAAGTTATTATGTTCATACCATGGTTTTAAGTAATTATTTACTAAATTTTGTACATTGAACTATTATTGGGTGACATGCATAATATTTTATGTTGGGAGTTTTTCTTTAGTTGGTATAACGTTATTGGTGATTGAGATTTGAATAATTTGTGTTTAGTATATAAATTAACCAAAAGGATTAACGGTATATAATGAGTTACTGATGAAGGGTTAATACCGGGTATTCAGGGTGAGCCCTGGTTTTGAGAATTCTCACGTAAATTATGTTGCGAAACTCTAAGATGGCACGAGACTTATTTGAACCCTTTTCGGTATTCGGTTTTGGAATAAGGGTGGATGTGCAGGTGGCACACAGGAAGGTTACGTACTTCTGGCAAACCGTTTCCTTGGGGCAGACCACGGATGCCTTCGATAAAGGAAGGCCTAGGAGGGTTTCAAATTAACCGTTGCCATGCTTAGTGGTTGGTAAGTTAAATCTCTTTGGTGAGATTTCGAGTGTCACCTAATTTATAAAAATTACTGAAATTATTCTAATGGTTGTAATTTATGTGTATAATTATATGGTTATCTCATGTTTAGAATATTATTTTTCTCTTAAAAAGAATGGTAGGTTGGTTACGTTTTCTTACTGTGGCGCAAAACTCATGGCATATATTTTGTTGCCCTGACGTTTCATGCCAAATTATGTTGAAGAAGGGACTGAGGCTGAAATTGGAGCTGCTGCCAATATCGAACCTTGGCTGACTTAGAGTCAAGATTTTATCGAAATAAAATCCTGTTATCCCTTGTATTAGGATTTAACTATGTTGTGACGTTGGGTGTGAATTTATAGTTTTATTTTATTGTTGGACTTTGATTATGTAAGAACTTAAAAGTTCCTAGTAGTTAAAACTTTATTTAGTAAGTTATCGTTATTTAAATCTTATGACGTTTCAAAAAAAAAATTTGGGGCGTCACAAACACTAATATTATAATATATATTAGTAGGTGAGTGAGAGAGAGGAGAGGGAGGCGGGGCAGAAACGGGGACGGGGAACGAGGCCGGGGTGGAATTTCTTATCATCGTTCCCGGCCCGAAAATGATTAGGGATTTTTTTTTTAATATCATCCCTGACCCGTTAGGGGTATTTTTCAAGAAAAAACCGTGTTAATCGAGGTCGGGAGGTCGAATCCTCGTCGGACCGGATTTAAATTGCCATCCCTAGCGGTAATTGCTCAAGAAGTCCCGACAAAGGTGATTTGCAAGGACATGGTGATAGCTTCCTTCTTACTTATCAAAAGTTGAGTTTTTTATTTTCCTGTAATTTTTTTTAAAAAATTTAGTAAGTTTTTTTAATATTAAGCAAAAAAAATTTATTTTTTAGACGACTTAACTTAAGTACACTTAAAAAATATAATATTTATAGAATTTTTTTAAATTTTTTTTTATTAAATTCTACAAAAATTACAAAAATTCAGTATATTTTTATATTTATGTTTGTTTATTGAATTTTTAAAATAATTTTACTTGTTAAGTAGATTATAAAATAAAAAATAATAATTAAAATATTTAAAAAATACTAAAAATAAAATTTTAATTTTAAAAAATCAATCAAAACCAAATTTCAGCTTGTTTGGTTTCACTTTTCAGGATTCACTTTTTAAAAAATTAAATATTTTTGTTTTTCGTGTTTTTTTTTCACTAACTTTTTTTAATATTTTAAACATTTTTATTTTTAGATATACCTAGCATAAATATACTTTAAAATGTAATATTATGAATTTTTTTAAAAAAAATTCACTAAATACCAAAATTACAAAAAATATGAAAATTTAGTATATTTTGTATTCTTGTATATTTAATGAATTTTTTAAATATTTTTTATAAATATTTTACTTTTTAAATAGATTTAAGTAAGATGCATTTAAAAGTAAAAATAAAAAAAAATTTAAAATTATTCACTAAAAATAGAAAATAAAAAATTCAATTTTTAGAAGATTGAGGGTTGGTTTGGGGTGTACTAAAAAAGTGCACTTTTTGTCTTTTTACGAAAAGATGTGCAGAAAAGTAGAGAGGTGATGTGATGGAAAAAAGATAAAAAGATAAAAAGATGGATTATATAGTAGATGACAAACAAGGCTTAGTGACAGATATATCACAATATCCATCGTAGCTTAAGAGTTCATTTGGGAACAACTTTTGCAGCCTGATTTTTTTTTGTCCTTTTAGCTAATTTAAATTAGCTCCATTTGGCCAGATTTTTTTGAGTTATAAAATGAAATTATTATGATTTTGATGTGTCATTTTATCTTCTTAACTTATTTTATTTTTTATATTTTTTTTACTCCTAACTTAAACCTAGTTCACTTGCCAAATGATGACTAAGGTCTCGTTTAGGAAGTGACCGGTTTAGCCAAAAAGTTATTAAAAAAAATCAAAAATCAAAAAGTTAACAACTCATACTAAAAAGTCAAAGATTCTATTTTCTCTCTACTTTTTGCACATCTTTTCGTAAAAAATTAAAAAATTATCCCAAACATACTAATTTTTTTTACATCACATTTTAGCCAAAAAATAAAAAAATTACTAAAAAAACTTGTTCGCAAACGAGGCCTAAATATAAATCCAAAGATGAGATTACAACAGGTTTGAATCAGTGCGATGGAGTTTTTTATGGTCAGGCTTGTCTCTAGTCCATTTTGTGAATTATAAGATATTGTTGAACCTATAGAACCCATCACGAGTCATGTTTCGATAATTCAAACCGTTCAATGTGTAAAGTTCATTGAGTAATTTATTTATGTAAAAAATCAAGTTGATGAGATATAAATAATTATTTGATCAGATTAAATTTTTGTTGACAATTTATTTTGAAAATTATATTTATCGTTGACATAAATATGATCTGATGAATATTAGTTTTTACAAAGAGAAAATATTCAACAAATTCTATATATTCAACGATTCGAATTATCGAAACATGATCCATAGTAAACTATGCAGATCCAATAACACGTTCCGGTCCGATCTCATATGGAAGAGAAGGTTGACATTTTTTTGTTTTTTAGAATTTTATTTTATTGTTGTTGTTGTTTATTTTTGCGGTACGGCGACGTTTTATGATTTCACTAAGAGTAGGAAAAAAATAAAAGATCAGCGGCTCACCCTCATAAGTTCTCCCCAAATCGGAGCCCTAGTCTTTTTAGTGCTTCCACACCTCGCTCTCTATCTCTCTGTGTTTTCTCAGGTGCGCATTCATTCTCTCTCTATCTCTCTATTCTCCGCGCTTTCTCTTTTTTTGATTTATGCTTGTTTAGGGTTTATATGTGCTTTTTTCCCCAGATAGTTTGAGAATAGTTAAGGGTTTAGTCGTAGTTACAATTCAAATGCGTTATGGTTCTATGTTTTCTGGTAGAAACTTTTTGAGTACTAGATCTGAGTAGTCTCAAGTTCTTGAATAGAAGGGTTTAGAAAAAAAATTACCCATTTTTATGGTGAACGGTTTGATTTTTGCAAGTTGTTTGGGAGATTGTTTTTAGGGAATCACTAGATTGACAGAACACTTGGCCTTATTAGATGTAAGAATGTACTTTTTAGTCTTAAAAGCAACGTAACTGTAAATATTATTGTGCAAAACATGTTTGTTGTTATCATTATTGATTAAAAATCATTACAAAACATTCAAATTATGATAAATAATGTTAGAATGTGCTTATTAGGGTTTGTGTATGACATTTGCTAGAGCTTGGAAAAAATTCAAAGTTCAGTTTCAAATTCCCGTTACCGATTGACCGATAATTTTGATATCTGGTACACACCATTGCAACCGTTTCACTGGCCAATTCTGCAATTTGAAACCATGGCTTGAGCTTTGTTTGTGTATGGCTAGTGGAGTTTTTGTCAGATTGATAGTTGACTTTTTTTCTATTTATTAATTTTTTTATACTTTGACTTGGGTTTTTGCCATTTGGTGGTTTACCTGTCGAAGTTTTTGTGTAAAAGATATAAATAAGTATACACTGTACACTTATTTGCTCCTCTGCAGGGTTATGGTTGTTATCCAAATCGCAGATCTGTGCGTGTAGTGCTCAATTTCTTTTCTAATTTGATGCATGACATAATAGTTTATATAAAAAAAAAAGACTTGTTTATTTATTTGTTTGAGATAATGGATTCCACGGACAATTATGGGAATTAGAGATCAGCATATTATTGTTTTTGGACTTAATGAAACTATGGGATTCTTACTCCATCGGTTTATATTTTGTAATCTAAGCTGGAGTTAATTGAGGTCTTCTTATTTGATTTTTATTTGTTTTTTTGTCAATGCCTCGCACTTTTGTTAAGCTTACTTTTACATCACTTCAACAAAAACTGCGCATTTGATTCTGGAATATTGATCACTGTGGGTGTGCTGTTTGTAATATTGCAGTTTTTTTTTTTCCTTCGAGGAACGTACAAACTTTATTTTGTTACTATGGGAGACAGTGAAACTGTGGTTGCTCAAACATCTGCTGTTACGGGGTACACATCTGCTGGCTATTCTTCGACTGATTATGGTAACACCAACTCAGATTCTGTTCCTGATGCTGGCGCTGTTGCTGATGTGGCTAGTGGAGAATTAGCTGCATCTGCTGCCACAACAACTGCTGGAGAGTTGCCTGCTACTGCTGCTTCCGTGGAAGATGCTGCTAATACCATTCCTAATGTTTCTAATTTAGGTGATGAAGCATACAGTAGAGACCTAAATTATTCCTTGCAGGGAGCTCCAATTACCCATTATGAGTCTAAGCCGTCATATGAAGTGGCTGATGCTAGTGAGAATCTCTCGGGCCCTACAAACACTTCTGGGGATTCTTGTCAAGTTGCTGGTTATGATTCTACCATAAATGGCCATGATGTTAGTGACGCAAGAAATATTGCGGCGGGTGGTATAAGTGAGAATGGGAATCCATCAGATGACGGTCATGGATCTACTTCTGTGCTTCAGCCGGTGGATGGGTCTGGTATGTCTCTCTGCCATGTTTGCAACATATGCTTTCCCCTTGGGTGTTGTCAAGGTGATTTATACCTAATAGTGTCTATAGTACCAGAGTACATTAATAAGAGCTTTGGTAGTGTTGCTTTATGGAAGCTCATGTACATTGCTTGCTCTAAACTAGGGATGGCATCGGGACAGGTACGGGCAGTGGACTTTTATCCCACACCCGCCCCCCATTTATGAACATTATCCCCATACTTGACCCTAGTAGCTAGCCCCCCTACCCGGCTCTACTAAGTGTAGTAATGCCCCACCCGTTTAGTTGTACAACTTACATTTTCAGTATTGAATTCTATTGAATTCCCTTCATTGCATGTATGGAGATAAATTTTTTTATTATATTTCCCTTGTAACTTGGCTGGCCTTCTATGATTATGTTTTGCTATTCTTTTAGATTATGTGCTATCAATCTGCTTCTTAATATATGACAACATGAAGCTCTTAAACCTACTATTGGAATCCAAATGATAGTTTAAACTTAACTAAAACCACCTACGTGTGTAGCAAATTTAGTAATTAATGTTAATTTAATCTGCACAGTTGCTAAGAAGCTTGAAATCTGTGTTAATTGAACTGGATAAAAACTCTATTATAATCCAGGATGGAGGTTTGTATGCACTGAATTTAATTTAGACTTTGGGTAGTGAGCATGGTCTTGTATGGTTGCTATATTTGTAGTGATCCATATAAAATAGTTGTCAAATCGGGATTCGTATCGTGAATCGAAATGGCCTTGTACCGAATCGCGAATCGAATCGAATCGAATCAAATCGTGAATCGTAAAAGATTCAGTCACTTTTTCTAAATTACTTAAAAATATATATCTACACATTTAGATGTTAAATATATCTTATGAATATAAAATATTTAAACTTAAATCAATGAAAATGTTATTTTGAATAATAATCACGTAGTTTAATAGGCAAGAAGTTAACAAAGGTCCCTATGTAAGATCACCATATTACATTTTTCTTTTTTTAGATATTTCTTATCAACCATTCTTAATAAAGATGTAATATCATCATCTTGCCTTTTTTCTTTTTTAAATATTTCTTATCAGCCATTCTTAATAAAGATAGTCACCAAATAGACAAATTATCAATTTCCAAAGTAACAATAATTAACAGCAATGTTGATATTTGGACAATAAGCATATATACTTTTCTAAGTAACAGTGAGCAAATAATAAGAAAGAATTATTTAGAATCTTTTATTTTAAAGCCTAAAACATTTTAAAAAGTATAACTAATCGCATACATGTAATATTCAATTTAATAAAATAGTGATAGATAATTTATAGTGTAACTTTAATCTTAAACATCTTTATAAGATATATTATGATTTTTTAAAAGAAAAAAAATAAGAAGAAAGGTTAAAAATATATTGGGTCTAATTGAATCTGATTGGATCCTATTGAAAACTCTATGATCGCTAAAATAATAATAAATCATGTATATATGTTGGTTATTTTGGCATTAAACGCTATTAAAAGTTGTATTATGCCATTTTCACTAAAAAGATGAAGAAAAAAAGAGTCGAAAATATGTTGGACACAATAATTTCAAAAGTTGCATGAATCGTAAAAATTGAATCGAATCGTGAATCGATTGTGAATCGTGCGATTCACTAGAGATTCACTTCCAAAATAGATTCACCAATAGATTCGTATCGATTTTACAAAAATTGCGAATCGAATCGTGAATCGAATCGTGAATCGTAAAATTCTGATAACAGAGATATAAATGATAAAAACTTCATTTATTATTTTTTTAATGCAAGCTTCTTAGAAATTGTACACCATAAAATTGACTACTTTATATTCTGTTGCTGCAAATGGAATCAGAACCTGTGGAGGAAAAAGTACTCTTTCTAATTTTCGAATAACTGAGGAAAATACTCTTTTTAGTATAATGGTATTAGAGGCAGTTGTTTTAACTAGGTTTTGTTAGTCAGGGAACTTGATTGTTTGACCACTTGACATCTTGCAACTGGTATTAATGTTGCATGAGTGCAACAATGTTGTTATTCTTCTAGTCATGTCTTTCATTTGGATGCATTTAGTAATGAAAAAGTCAGTACTACTTCTTTGGGCCTAGAATATATAAATATTGTTGAACTCTTCTTATTTCATTTTTTTGGGAAGTCCAGGCTGCAGGTACTACTAAGATCTCACTTGTTTTTAGCTTTCTAGTAGGCTTCAGGTTGTCTGAGCTATGCTCATTTCATGGTTCCATTTTTCTGGATATTTGACATTTATTGATTTCTGAATCAATGAACGCAACCTTAAGACTTTAGCAGCCGTTTTCTCAAGCTTTATTCTTCTTCAGTATTAATTTTTAAAGAAAATGGTACTGCATATTTTTTCTTCTCTATTATGCCATGATGGCCTTTGAGAACAAACAATTTTGGGCTGCAAACTCTTTTCTCTGTGAAGCGACCATGTTTATTGACGTTCCTTTGGAAATTGAGATATCGTTGAAGTGGTTGGTTGGTCCAAGTATTGGGGTGGTATTTTTTTTATACTAATGTTTTTAAAAATTTCTCGGATGAATTCTGTGACATTGCTTAAAAAAGTAATATGCCAAGGATACATTCTGTGATGGACTGTGAAGGTCTAGGGGGCCAAAATTCCGATCTTGTTCTGTTGGTTACATTGATTCGTAATTTCTTTCTTCATACTGTGTTTTTACTTGAGTGAAGAACTCATGCAATTTTCTTGAAGATTTTTTCAATCCTTTTCGCTTTTTATAGTTTTTATAATTTTTAAAAATATTTTGCGTCTTTGTTAATGTTGTTGGAGATTCAGGAGTTTGGTTGGTTGAAGGTTTATATACTTGCTTCTATGCTTTGAATTAACCATCTGCTACTGGTTGACTAGATAAGCTTCTCTCCCTATTTCAATTTGTCACTCTCTTGTTACTTGGAAGTTGCAGTTGTGTTGATTATGTTTGTGTGCTTCACCTTCATTACAGATTCTACGTTCATGGGGTTCATTTTATGTTCATAAGTGGTTAGATCTAGGTTGTGTTTGGTAATGTTGCCCGTTTTAAGTTTATATATTGTATAAAACATGTTTCAGTTGTTTTGGCAAGAAATTGTGAAATTGGTGCCATTTTTTGGCAATGAAAATAGTTACCAAGCGTGTTTTTATTTATAGATTTCAAAATCTTTGAATACAAAACCAGTAAATAGAAAACAAAAATGTTACCAAACAGGTGATTTAGATACCTGATTTTGCACATGAAATTACTATTTCTTATTGGCTGAGTTGGGATTTTAAATATCTCTCTCTCTCTCTCTCTCTCTCTCTCACATTTTACTTCGCATTGGTTGCAGCTCTGTTGATTATGGTATTAAACTACCAAGTCTTCTTTCTTGTGGCCTTCTCTGTGTCCTTAATATATGCATATTTGCATTTAGCGTGTTTGGTGCTGTTTTTGTTTTTCATGTTTTTGAAAACCAAAACAATGAAAAGTTTGAAAATAATGTGAAAATAATTTTCTGTGTCAATTTTTTTTGTCTTTTTTCTTTTTTGATCAGATAAAATAGAAAATGAAAACGATACCAAACGTGTTGGATGTTCTATGATTTCTGGTTTGTGACATTTTTTTTATTTCTTTTTTTGGCAGTGTTGTCGGCTGACGAAGAACGATTGTGGAGCATAGTGAGGGCTAATTCCTTAGATTTTAACACGTGGACTGCCCTAATTGACGAGTCAGAGAAGGTGGCGGAGGTATGTAAAGTTGATTTTTTAGATATTGAAAAAGATTTTTTTTTATAAAAAAAAAATATGAAAGTACATCTGCAGCCATCTGTTTTTATATGTGCTGGACCTAAATAAAATGAGACCCAAGAACATGGATTGACCTTACCAAAATATTGCCAACTCATAAAGTTGTAGTAAATCATACATAAAATCATGCAGTCTTTTAAGCTTTAAAAATGTGAAATAAGATTCAAAATCGTTCCTAAGCAAAATTACCGAAAGCAGAAGTTATGCCCTTTGTGAAATTTGAAATATACCCTTGGTCTTATATACATTTCTTGTATTAATTATTCAACCTATTTTCCATCTCTTTTATGTTCATTTGATTTTCCATAATATTTTTATTTCAAAATCTCCATGGTACTACAAAAAGATAAATTTTGCATGGAAGTCAGACTTAAGCTCCTTCTGCGACACTCTGATAGTATATTATGTATATAGGGTGAAACTGTGTTGATTTTCTTTCAAATTCTGAAGTTATTTGATAAGTAGCTCATTTATCTTCTTCTTTAAGGAGTTTAATTATATTGTCACTATCTTTCTATGCAAGTTTCTGAATCACCAAGGAAGGTCTTCTATGTTGGAACATCTTGCATTTGACTTAATTGTTGGCCAACTATTATTAGTTTAGTTCTGTGGTATGAATTACATATTGCTGGTAATGTAGACCCTGAAGAAAGACTCAGGAATCTCACTAAGCATTGAGAATAGCAGTAATTGCTGATTATGTAGTAACACCACCTTAGGTGGCTAGTGGAGTATTTGTGGTTTTCTTGTAGTTCTGGCCATTTTATGAACTGATTACTACCATTTTTACTTCTTCCTAAAAACTTGCATTTGGACAAGGGGAAGTTACTATTGTGGCAAATTCAAAATGACCTTGAATCGGTTGTTCCTCACATTCTGTGGTTTTCTTTTTCAGTTTCTGAAAAACTGTATTGATGATTGGTCGTGGGTATTACATTTGATTTCATGGTGTTTGGAGATATTATGATGCACTTTTTTATTTTCAGCAATATACTGAATGTGTATTATCAGCTTCTTATTTGATTCCATTGTATGTTGCGTGAACTTTGTTTTTAAGGTTCTGTCCTCTCATTTCATGATGTGGCTTATTATTCCTTATTGTTTATGAGTATTTTTACAGGCTTTTAATGGATCATTAATTTTTTCCCTTCTTAATGGATCATTATTTTCCCAATTCATTTATGTATAAATTCGCACACAAGGGTCCATTTTTTCATGTTGGAGTTGACATCCATTTTATTTCTCATGCAGGAAAATATTTTGAAAATCCGGAAAGTTTATGATGCCTTTTTAGCAGAATTTCCTTTGTGTTATGGTTATTGGAAGAAGTATGCCGATCATGAGGCACGTGTAGGCTCTATTGACAAAGTTATGGAGGTGTATGAAAGAGCTGTTCAAGGAGTGACATATTCTGTGGATATTTGGTTGCACTATTGTGTATTTGCCATAAGCTCATACGGAGATCCGGAGACTGTTCGAAGGTAATTTCTGTTAGTTGGTTCATTGTTACTGCAGTTCCCTACGGGTATATCATGATTGCTTAATTTTATAATTGTCACGAGGAGTAGGTACTTTACAGTGCTTTCTAACTGGATTTTGGCATGCCTGCTACAGCGACACATCTCGTGTGGTGGAAGGTTTGTTTGGTATGCACTTTGGAAATAAGATTTTTCTGATGTGCATGCTACTGTAGATGTTTAAATTTATTTTAGGGTTTAATTCTATTTTATGGCCTCACTACCCGTCCCCGGTCCCGCCTTTTTCCACTTGGACTATGTCATAGTCTATGTAGTTCTTGACACTGTGAGGTGCATCAATAACAAATTGCTGCTGAGAAGATCTCGTCCAAGTTAAGTGCTAAGATGGCCTGAATCTCTGCTACATTTCGTGGACATTGTATGATTTTTTTGTCAGGAAGGTAAATGCAGCATATTTGTGCCTATGTTTGGAAGTGTCATGTGCTATTAGAGTGAATTCTTCCTCGTTGTTCAACAGTAGTGCCACTGTCAGACATTTGTCGACGTGCTTGCCATGGCTAGGTTGATGTTTCTATGAATATGACAATGATTGTTATTTTCATTGTCTTTCAGGCTGTTTGAGCGAGGATTAGCATATGTTGGTACAGATTACCTATCTTTCCCTCTTTGGGATAAATATATTGAATATGAATACATGCAGCAGGAGTGGGCCCGTCTTGCCATGATTTACACACGGATATTAGAGAATCCTAATCAACAACTGGATCGCTATTTCAACAGGTGGTTCCTCTTTTCTGTGGCACCCATTATTTATGCATTTGTTCACTTTATAGCACAGAGATGTGGGTTTTACGTTTTATCTCCTTTTGTCTATAAGACCAGGAAATTGTTTTTAGTTTGTAGTGTTGGAATTTGTCTTGTCGATAGCAAAATTCATGTAACTATAAATCATCATTGTTTCCATATCTAACTGCTACTTATATTCACATTTTTACAGCTCTGAGGATGCCACTTATGTGAGAAGTAGTCAATTAACTAGGAGGAGTTCCTTTTGTGAAGAATTATGTTGTTGTGCAGTTGGTCTGCTCCCGTGGGTTACATATCTAACTGATACTTGTATTCACACTTTTACAGCTTTGAGGATGCCATTTATGTGAAAAGTAGTCAATTATACAAGGAGGAGTTCCTTGTGTGAAGAATTATGTTCTCGTGTAGTTGGTCTCATTGCTGATAACCATTGATTAGTTTCCATGTGGCTGTCTTTGGATGCTCTGAATTGAAGTAGTTTATGAGATTTTAAATGGAAAAAGCGCTTTATTGTTTTAAAAAAGGGAGTCGTTAATGGCATACACACTTTTATGGAGCCAAACAAATCATACTCATCTGCAATTTTACCCTCCAATAAACCTTCGTAACTATAAACTCTACTAAAACATCGATGGCATTTTTCTCTGCACCCTCAAATCTGTCCCTTTCACTATTTTTCTTCTTTATTTTTTCTCTCTTTTTCACTTCCATGTTCTCTCTTCAATCACCCAATCATCCATCCTTTGTTTCTCTTTTTACTTAACTTTCTTTTTATTCTCCACTTGTTTTATGTGTT